ATAGATGCACAAGGGTACATTTTGAAGGATGTGCGATGAAATTGTTTACGCGTATCTGTTGACTGACTTAATTAGCTGATTACTGGCGAATGGCTGTGTTATGTCTGTCATCGTTTAAGCCTATTTAAGGTCCTGCACGGAAATTGGTTCAGTGATTTGGAACTAATTACGAGATAACCGTCGCTATTCGGACTACTGTTTCTGACAGTTGGTATTCCCAATTACTAATTCAGTGAATTTATAAAGTGCTTGACTGACCGACTAAGACGAGAGTTGAAACGTATTCCATTGTGTGTGTCTTATTTGACTGTAAAGTTTAAGTGATTTCCCGATCCCATACCTCAAGGGGACGCGATAGAGAGACGAGACGCTATTCCCCCCTGACACGTGTGGAGAACCCCTCAGAGAAGAATTTCCCCCTGATAGATGTAAGAATACGTGTCTGGATTGCCGGTTGTAAGATAATGTCTGAAAAATCTAACTTGATAGTAGGAATTCGTTGCTTTTTTGGTTGTTCAAATATTGATACATTTATTTTGATGTATGTGGTCAAATGGTTTCTTGGTTGTTGAATCATTGGTTTAGACATCTTGTAGCTTGGAATGGTTCTAATCAAAAATCGATTAGACGACCTCAAGTCTTATCAAGAAATTGTATATGGTAGCCGGCGGGTATTATTGGCAGGGATGGACCTATTGAAGTAATATCGTGTACATGGCCCTATATATATATATATATATATATATAAAGATTAGTGGTTCACTTGAAGATAAAAGGCAGCGTACAACAAGACAGAACAGTAACTAGATTCAAAGCGATTTATTCGTCACAGGAAAGACCCATACTACATATCACTTATTGCTAATTGAAACGTACTGTGATAGGCTGCTATGAACAGGTCGCTTATGGTTGGTTGAAATTAAAATGTATGACTAACGAATATTGGTTAATGCATAGCCTTGCCGAATCACCACAGCACAACAAGCTCGACAACCGTTCAGGACAGCTTTACTATATATTGTATACCACGTGATGTTAAACATTGTATAGCACATAATTCTACATATATCACATGGTACCACGCATTTCATGCCACACGATACTACAGAATATATATTGTACGGTCTACATATTGTATATAACTTTTTGTTATACATTGTGTATCGCTCACTGAGAAATACACAGTAAACGTTAGTTTCAGCAGTGTGTATTTCTCAATTTATTGAGTATAAAATTATTGGAAGGGATTGAGAAATTCTCAAATACAATTTATTTCGCCACTCGACTGAAAAATGTCAGAACCCCGTGGAAATGACTGCTATGAATTTCTCATGTGCGTTACTATGACTTTCTCATCTGCATTCACAAATCATTCACCTCAGGGCGTTCTCGGAGAACATCGGCACACTCACCCTCACCCGCATAGATATTTGCTTCATATAAAGAATATCAAAGCAGAGTATTTTACTTCATATTAATTCTGGCACGTTTGCTGTCTATTTGGAAGCAATCCCGAAAAAAGCGGCCGGGGCAACAGCAGTGCAGCGGACGACAATTTGTTATGCGCTGTATCGTTGTGCCATAGCTTCAGTGACGTCAGCCATGTGACATCAGTTTTATTCAATGTCATGTGACCGAGTCTCAGCCAATCACATCATGCGTAACAACAGTGAGATGTGAGTAGATATCATGCATCATGCATTCCGGCGAGACGAGATCTGAAATTAATCGCCTGGCAGGCAGTGCGGCATGGAAATGGTCCATCCCATGTCTGGGAGTAGGCGTCGTGGTTTTGTGATCATCTCTGTATAAATCGGTATCGACAAAAATGAATATTACAATATATTAAAAAACGTACACGTAGTTTCACAAAAGAATACAACTTCGAACATAGTTTGAATTATTTTAATCAACCATTGGCTAAGACACAGAACTCCCATCAACACTACTGAAGCACCAACTACACATGTAATAAATAATGATATCTCCCTTACTTTAATTGGAGTTTCCAGCCAATCACTGGTACACAATTGCGTATTTCCTCATTTGCATTCTGCATTTCATATCTCCGACAACCTGAGGCTCACCGAAATGAAGGCACATTTAACATATTTTGATGGTCGGGGATCGGGTGAATCAATAAGGCTGATTTTAGCCACCGTTGGAATCGAAGTAAGTAACATTTCAAATTTATCAGGCTCTCTGTTTCCAAACCCTTATTTTCTCATTTCACCTACCAATACTGTTAGTACCTGTTATAGGCAATGATTACCATTGTTTTGATTTGGTACAGTTGGCCATGGTTCAACGGCGTGCAGGGGTCGAATAGAGGTTTATAGGCTTCGTTTACCAGTTTAAACGAAAGCGTGGGAACAGGTCAGACAAAAATAATACGGTGTGTCTGTGTGCAAAAATTAATACTCGTTCCACACGCCCACGTTATCTAATGACACCCAATTTGTTGCTCATGACCAGTGAGAATTACTATTTATTTTCACCTGTGCAGTACGAAGTCACGAAATCCAGCTATCTTGTGTTTTGTAATTTACTTGGCTCAATTAGTCGCAATGATAACGTGAGTTTACTGATGTGATGCCTGTATTTGCATATCAAGACACTTGCCTCGGTATGGTTAGTCTTTTTTAATCCCCAAATTTCACTAATCTCATACAATGATTATCAGTCCCGATGTATGATTAGCTAAGCACTCAACAAAGAGCGATTTAAATTCCGTTGCTGAAACTGGATTTGACATTTATGTTTAAATAATGATAAAAAAGAGTACACCTATCTTCTTTAATACTAGATGTATTAATACTATAACAAATTGCATAATATTTAACCCATTTTTCAAAATTCTGGCTGCATCAAGATGTGGCAAACTAATTACAATGATTTGTGATTTGTGTTGCTATGGCAACTGAACTTTGCATATTAATCAGGGCAATCTCTCCTGACAATTATTGATAGATGAAAAGAGAATGAAACAAA